TGACCATTACACAGGCTCCTGAGCAAGGGGTCCTGCAGATCAGGCTGCACACCACAAGGCCAGCCCTGCCGCCAAGCCTGGAAAAATCATATGACCTCATGCTCAATTAGAAAAGGGGATTCAAAACTGCTTTTATAAAGAGATTACCATTGTTATTAAAAACAGACCAGGGCACAAAGCCAGGCTGGACAGAGGATCACAAGCTGCTGGCATGGCAGCCTCTGTGCCCTCTTCACCTGACACATCTCCATACAGTCCCAGCAACACTGCCATTCCCCAAGGCCTGAGATAGCTCACAAAAAAGCCTCTTAGCTCCTGGAGCTTTAAGGACCAAGTTCAAAAACTGACAGAAGTAACCACTGCCTGAGTCAGTATGGGAATGTGTTAGAACTTGGGTTCCACCTTCCAGAAGAAAAAAGCACAGCTGCCTCTGTGGCTGGGAGTTCCCACTATAAAACTAAACCCAGAGCCAGGCATGATGGCGGGCACTTGTAACCCCAGCACCCCAGTGGTGCATGCAGTAGAGTTAAGAGTTTGAGGCTAGCCTTAGCTACATAATGAGTTTGAGGCCGGCCTGGGCTACACAAGGCAAGGCAGACCTAGAGGTTTAGGGGAAATTGGGAGTGGTGATAACCTTCTCCAAGTTCAACTGCAGCACTCTCATTGAGCTTTGTGACACTCAGGATACCAGATAACACAGGGAAACTGAGGCCCAGAGAGGTGGGAAAGAGGTTGAGGAAGAACACAGAGCAGGCCCTGCCTCTGCCTGCTCCCCTCCCCCACTCCTGCATAGGAGGCTGTGAGGCCTGGGGAGGCTCACTGAGTGGCTCCCAACAGAAACAAGGGGGACAGGCAAAGACTGGCTCTCCTGCACTCCTGGGCTGCAGCTCAGAGCACCCCTCACCCCTCACCTAGACTGTTTCCCCATAGGAGGGGGTGGGACCTGGGCTGGCCAGCCCATTGAGAGTTCAAAAGGCTAGTATGGCTTCTGCCACATCACATTTGTGGATGATCTTAGGAAGCCCCCCACCCCCGCCTCAGGACTCCTGACCCTGATGGGCTGAGAGTACTTTTCCCAGACACAGGTGGGTAGCTCACTGAGAAGCATTGACAGTGGTACATCCTCATTGCTAAAGATCCAAGCCACAGCCAGGAGGAAGTTGAGGCCTAGACAGATCTGGATCCTGGCAGGTCTAGAACACAGAGCCCTGAGGACCAGTCATGGGATTCCCCCTCCAGCCATCTCCACAGGGCCATGTGGGGAAGCAGGGCCCCGAAGCCCTGAGGTGAGTGACTTGAGAGATACAGGAGGGTTTCCCAACAGGACACTATCACAAACCCCTCCCAGCTCCCTACCTTCAATCTAACTGGTGTCACAAGTGCCCTCCCAGGTTTCCTGACAGCAGGGGTGGGTGGACATCACAGATGCCACCGTGGCCTTGGGTCCTCCCTGTCTCTTCCCTGCCATCAACAAAGTCAGCTAAAGACTTGCTCCATCAGGGTACCAAGATGTCTGCCAGCAGCCACAGGACTTCCAGTTCTGATCACTTTTATAGCTCTCTCTCACTCACTCTACAGAACTGACTCCTACTTCCATTCTGGAGGCCACTAGGAGGCTGAAATTACCTTGGACCAATCAGAATAACCAGTGTCCGAGGTCTCTTTCTAGGAAGCACAGGTGTGCTCCCTGGGAAGATGGCTGAGACACTCCACACTGGGTGGATGCTGCCCACGAGCTAGACTCACACAGGGCAGACCCTCTGCTCCCTTGAGCCCTCTGCATCACCTCAACTCTAAAACTAGGATAGAGTCACACAGAACTCATAGGCATGGGTGAAGAGAGAGGTCACACACCTTTCTGTGAGCACAAGAAAGATGCCCGAGAGCTGAGGACTGAACAGCTGCAGGAATGGGCACCGTGCCTCTAAACCAGCAGGAGAGGACACTTCTAGAGCACTGAACCTGTGGGCACACAGCACCTGCTGCACCCACAGAGATGGGCTTACTGCCAGGACCCCCTACCCAGCCTGTGTAGCTTCCCTACGTTGAGCTCCTGCCCCAGGACAATGGCTGCCTGCTGTGGCCAGCTCAGAGGACATGCTGGCGGATGGCATGAGGGATGGATGGATGGATGGATGGATGGATGGATGGATGGATGGATGGATGGACGGATGGACAGACAGAGGGCCAGCCAAGCTGGAACATATCCATTTCACTCTAAAGCTGAGCCCTGGGGCCACAGCAGAGCAGACTAGAGTCCAGCAGCATCCTGGACACACTGCTCTTGAGAAATGAGAGATTATCTCCCCAGTAATCCCCCATCCCTGAGCCCCCATTCTTCGGTTCAGGTCCCTCTGCTGCCCTGACAGCTTCTACTTCACCACTTGCCACCACCAACCCTCATCAAGAGTACGCACCAAAAATCACCCAGACCTCTAACTCGCATCATGGTGTGAATGACTAACAAAACCCAAACTCTTCTCAAGGTATTTAGGATCTTCTAAGAGACTCGGGTGGGACTCCCGCTACCAAAGATGGCATCTGACCTAGCACTCAGGGGCTTAGTAGGAGTCGGTCTTGAGAGCGATGGGAAGCAGGTGTTCTGGAAAGGAGAAACAGCCAGTGCAAATGCCCTGACGTCAGGAAGAAAACATATTTGGAACAGGATTACATCAGACAGCTGGAGGGTTGTGTGAGTGAGGACCCAACCTCCAGGTGGAACAGGAGGTGTACACCCAGGTCCTTTGTAAACGGAGTCTCAACATCTATCCATTCACGAAGCTCTTCAGCTATGGGACAGGGATAGATCATACCGTGTGGTTTATTTCCTGCCTCCAGTAGTCAGGATTCTACCTATGCCTGGGCACTCTCTACATGGACACAGTCACTATCACCTCAACAATCCCAAGGCAGAGATCACTGTGACTCTCTTTACAGAGCGGCAAAGCCCAGGAATGTGTAGCAACTCACCCAAGGAAGCCCAGCAGGCAAGAGAGAAGCAGGATTTGAACACAGGTGACAGCTGACGAATTCTGGCTGACTTTGAGATCAAAACACAAAACACCAGGACTCCACGGTGCTGGCCCCTGTCTTCATTTGGGGAAGCTGAAAGTCTCATCTCATTACAACACATTTCACTCCACACTGTCACTCTTCTAGACGTTCAGAAGGGCAGGGGCTGGTGATGGGCTTCCTCCCTGGGACTCTGGTGGCTGAGCCCTGAGCCTCACACAGTGCCCACACCCCAGCTCACAGTAGGTGCTCAATGCACATTAGCTGCTAATCACCGACCACAGACCCAAGATGGTCTCTCATCTCACCTAGTCCTCACAGACACCACAAGACCTTGCAGGCAGTGTGGACTTGTTCCCCTCCTATTTTACACATGGGAAAACTGAGGCACAGGACTCCTTAGTAGAATACAGGATAGGCTGGCCAAAAGCAGGGCATCTCCGACCAGCCCCAGGGCTGGACCCTGCAGGTCCAGGGGCTCCAACAGCTGCAGCAGTGGGTGTACTATAAAGGTTTTAAGTCCTTCCACCTCCTGCAGCCTCCACTGCCATTCCATCCCCGCCCAGGTGGTTCATGGAGATTTGAAATCAGGTGTGCGAAAGGGAAACGCACAGAACTGTCCACTGTGGGGTGGGCACGATGCATTTCGTGTTTATTACAGAGCAGCCCTGAGTCCCACTGGATCATCCCCAATGTACAGATCAGAAAAACTGAGGTTTCTCCCAAGAAGCCAGACCAACCCAACCCGCCCCCACCCCCAGCCTGGCATCCACTGTGGCTGCCATCGGCCCTCTGCCGCTGGGCAGAAAGACCATCTCCGCGAAGCGAGATCCCTCCCCAGCTCCCCAAGGCAGGCCACAATGGGCGGCGTTCAGCTCCGGGGCCTCCCAAAGCCAGGATGGGGCAGCTCGGCCCCCACTCCCCGCACACCCCGCGGCGACGCGTGACTCAGCGGTTCTCCGGAGCTGGGAGCGCCGCCCTCGGCGTCCGCACGCCCAGGTTGCACACCCAGCCTCCCTGGTCCGCAGGCCCGCCGTGGGGACCGCGGTGCCCGGCCCGCACTACGCAGCCTCCCCGGGGCTCCGCAACGCTCGGCCTCATTTCCGGCGGAGGGCGGCATCAGGGCGGCGGGGCCCACGCAGGTTCCCCGGAGCAGGCACCCACGCGCGCGTCAGCCCCGCGGGACGCAGCACGGAGGCCCCTCCCACCCGAGCAGCCACCTGCTCCAGCCCACAACCAGGCCCGCAGCCCGGGGCAGGTCCCCAGCGCCAGCGTGCCGGTCCGTGGTCACCCCTGCTCCTGGCTGTGCGCGCGCTAGCCCCGCGGTTCCAGGGCCCGGGCAAGGCCTGGGGACCCCAGAAATACTGCCACGGAAGCAAGGGGCGCCGAGCCTCTGGATCCCACCCGCCCGGGTGGGGGCTGGTGCGCAGGGCCAACTTAGGGGTTTGGGGTGCCATGCCCCACTTTTTCCGCCCTGAAGGTCTGGCCCAGCTACTCCCGTCTCAATAGAAGTCCCCAGGAATAACAGTAACCCCAAGCCAGCCGCCTTCTCCCTCCCACGCAGGGGACCTGCCTTCGGAGACCAGGGAGGTTCCAGGGTAGCCGAGCCCTGGAGGACCTGGCGGGGGAATTCTCCTTCCTGGGCCCTTCGCCTCTCCAGGGAGTGGGCAGCCTAGAAAATTCTGCAGGCTCTGGCCAGGCTAAAAGGGCAAATGAAGGATTTTGAGGCCGTGGCGCGTCCCGGGGATTGCCACCCCAGATGCCCTGCAGGCTCGGGCTTTGTAAATGGGAGTCAGGACCCCCATCCCGATGCCACCCGGCGGGGAAGGGCGAGCTGCCTGCGTCCCCGAGGGCAGCGCGAAGGACGGCGCTGGGCTCCCCCGCAGAGTCCCTCCCTCCGGCCCAGGGTTGGGGTAGGATGGTAGGGTGGGTAGGATGGGTGGGGTGGGTAGGGAGGGGGGTCACAACACACAGCGCGCGGTCCAAACCTTCGGAGGGCATTCGGTGCGACGGCATGCCCACGCGGCGACCGGCCGGAGGGGGTCTCAGACAACACGTACGTTACCTTCAGTCACATAGCTGTGGTCCCGCAGGAAGCTGTGGTTAATTTTCCGCGTGTCCGTGTCCTCGCCCATTGAAGGCCGCGCCCGGTGCCCTGGGCATGCCCCGCCGCCGCACACCGATGCAATCCGCAGAG